TATTCATATTCCTTCAGGAGTACATTGGAGCATGTGTGGTACTCATAGCGGCTGTCACTTCTATTACCAGTTGCCTGTATAATAAGCTCTCTTCAGGACTTGTAGGCTTGGGACTAACCTATGCTCTTATGGTAAGAATCTCAGGACCTTTTCTGTCTTTCCCAAATTTTTATTTTTTTTTTTGCAATTCAGGGCACAAAGATGAACAGGAAGATTGAAGGTGTCTGTACGTCTATAGGGGGTACTGTAACATCACTCAAACTGTGTCTCAACTTCAGTTCACATGCAAGGGTTGACATATTTGGGAGTATGCTTTCTTTTTTTAGATAAAATATTAATTGAAGTGTTAGTTCAAATATGTCAACAAAATATGGCCAAGTTGCATCATATTTTTATATTGTCTTGCATTGGAAGAATATTTTTTCAGTGCATCATGAGCATGCCCAGGTATACTAGTCTAGACTGCCAAACCTGAAGTTACCAAGATGCTGTCTTTTCACTTACATTTATTGTTTCCCTTCCTCTTTTCTATTAGTATAGTTCAGATTGCTGTACTACCAAAGTATCTGTGCACTGCAGTTAGGAAATTTAGCCTTTAGTTATTGTTGTCAGCCTGTTCATGTGCACCATTTGGTTCATTCACAACTTCAGTTTATTAAGACTGAACAAGTATTACTACAGAGGAATACAAACTGCATGCTGGTCAAATGATGCAAACTACTAAAAAACTAGTATTTAGCAGTGTATTTGCTTTACATCAGGTGTCTAACTATCTGAATTGGATGGTTCGTAACCTGGCTGACATGGAGATCCAGCTGGGTGCAGTGAAAAGAATCAATGGCCTGCTCAAAACAGAAGCTGAAAATTATGAAGGGCTCCTTTGTAAGTGGAGTTTTATGCAGCATGCAGAAAAGCTTGCTGAAATTTTAATGATTTGAAGTATATTACCATAAAAAACATAGTAAATCACTTATGAAGTGATTAATTTATTATGAGAGGGTTGAATTTTATCTTATTTCCCTGTACTCCTGGTTACAGCTGCCTCACAGATTCCTCAGAATTGGCCAGACAGAGGGGAGATCCAAATCCAGAACCTCAGTGTCCGATATGACAGCAACTTAAAGCCAGTGCTGAAGCATGTCAATGCCCACATCTCTCCAGGACAAAAGGTAAAAAACTGCAGTGATCCCGAGAAGCTCTTTAGACTAGCACATAGTAGAAACTTGAGTTGAAAAACCCACCATACCAGAGCATGTTTTGATGACTGAATTACGGATATATTATTCTCTAAAAGAATACAGTGTACTGGAAAGGGGCCTGGGGGTTGGTGTGTTTAGAGAGAGAGAAGTTAGAACTTAGAGAGTTAGAAGAACTTAGAAGTTAGAAATTACAGAGAGAAGTTAGAACTACACACCACTTCCCAGTATCCCAGTGCCCTTCTGTCAGTACACAGTGCCAAAAACAGTGACCCCTTACTTTGTTAGACCTACTTGCCATCATTCCCATGTGGCTCATTTGCATTTATTTCCATCATTGCCACTGTATATAGGACTGGCTTTGATTTATCTATAACTGCTCAGATCTCTAAAGACAAAGAGTGAACTCAGGGATTCTGTTATAGCCAGTTCAGTTTAACTTAACTATCAGGACATAAAGATCATGTGGGTCAGAACAGCTGCTACACCCACTCATCTTACATGTTAAATACAGACATTATCCATTTCCTTTTACCTGATGTTCATCTGCTTCTTGTGTCACACAGATTGGGATCTGTGGTCGAACAGGCAGTGGAAAATCCTCCTTCTCTCTAGCGTTTTTCAGAATGGTTGACACCTTTGAGGGTAAGATTGCACTTTTGTGAATTGCTCAAGCTTAGCTCCTGAAAGTCCTTTCTTTAACAGCAGCAGCTTTGAAGTGTGATTTTTGAACCTGCAGGACACGCTCTCTGGCCTTGCTTAAATACAGTATTATCTGTCACTTAGCAGCTGTGCCATTCATAAGCTGTATCAATGGAAATTCTACCTGACAGAAGCAAAAGTCCAAGAGTGACAGAGGACAGCCTTTGGTGCTGTTAAACCACAACAGCAGGAGCAAAGCATAAAAAGGGAAGGAGTCTAAGTACAAGAAGGATCTGTACACAAGGTACAGATTAGGACCTGCTGGCCCAGGAAACTCAGCAACTGGGGATTGCAGTTTGGCTTGCAGATGTCCTTCCCTGTCTGTCAGTTTGATCTGCTGCCCTGGAATTTCCTGCCATATTTCCTACTGTGTGTGCCATGTCTGTGTACCCCACAGAGCATTCCTGTGCATCTCAAAAAACTTTAGCCTCAGTTTCCCAGCCACATCACCCACAGGGCCCTTATGCACAGCCAGACAGTTGTACCTGGAGGTAAAATTTCTAAGTGCTCTACAGTAATTTGGTTTTCTGAAACATTGGTTCCCCCTGCCAACTAGTCCCTGATTGAAGTAATATTTTACCTTGTTTGATAGATGTTTATAATGGTCACGCAGATAAGTAGTGTCTAATCTTTCATAAAATATTACAGGTACGCTTCATATTCATCCTAGCTGGGGCTTAGTCTCAAGATAGTTGTGCTTGATGCTTAACCAAAATGTGTTTCATTAGTGAATAAGGGGATATGCAATTCAAGGCCTGTTCCTGCTGTACTGTATTGCAAGCTGAAAGTGAGCTGTGTCTTTGCCAGCAGCTATGTGGCATGATAAACAGTCCAGTAGACTATCTATTTTCTTTTGAATAGGAAGGATTATCATTGATGGTATAGATATCGCTAAGCTACCCTTACAGACATTGAGATCCAGGCTGTCAATCATTCTACAAGATCCTATTTTATTCAGCGGAACAATCCGGTAAGCATTAAGCACCAGCAATAAAAAACATAAAAGAGTTATATGTTATTATATATTATAATTATACAATATAATGACTTTTACAGAGCTGCTGATAGCCAGCTGTTCAATTCCTGTTGTCTCAGTTGCAGTAGGGAGGACCACTGCCTTCTGAATTTGCTTTTTACCTACCCCTGCCACACTGCACCTTTCTGGTGCCTGAGCCTGGTCAGCACGCTGTTGGCATAAGTCATCCCAGAAAGTCACTATTTATTTTGCCAGGATCTAATAATCAGTTTATCTCACTGAGCAAATACCTATCACCACCCAGCACTTCCTGAAAAGCAGCACTGCACCAGCTAGTAGGGGGAAAAGTAACTGTTAACAGCTGAAACCAGGACACTCCTACATCTGTTTTCACCTGACTGCCTTAAAATATGAGATGCAGACTCTCAGAGAAAATGTAGACTTGAAAAATTAACGTAGAAAAAGAGAAAGCAGTAAAGCAATATAAGAAGTAATGGGGATGCTTGGGGTATTTTATCCTGGAACCTCTTATCCGTGTTGCTTTCTAGTTTTTGAGCCATTCTTTCATCTGTGAGACCAAACACCCTTCTCTTCCTCCTTCTCCGAGTGGTTGATGCAGTAGAAATAATGGCAAAAAGCTCCACAGTTTCCAGCAAATGTCCTTCCCTGTCTGTGGCATTTACCTTAGAAAGGAACATTACAATCCTCAGTGCACAGTTACACCACCTACAGTTACAGTTTCTACATATTAGTCATTAGAGTTCACTAAAAATGATACAGGCTTTTGTGGTTTGCTGATTCCATGCTAATACAGATCTCACGATTATCTCCTGCACTTGCCTGGAATAGAGCATGATTCATTCATGTCATGTGACTGTATGCCTTTGTTTTATTAATTAACCTATTAAAATTATTTAGGCCAGCATTGTTCACTCACAGCACATACAGTAGGAATAAAACATACAAATAAACTGTTACACATCATTGAATCTTTTATTTCCAACTATCATTCTATACAATGATAGGAGATTCCCATTTGTTGCTATCATTTCTGGGCCACAGCAAGCTAAAATACCATTCATCTATTCATAAGTCCAAGATTTGTTCAGTTGTACAGAAGACTTGCATTTCATATTTCAGTATGAAGCTTGATTGTTCTGTTTACCATTTATGTAGCAGTAAAGAACAGAGACACTGAATTTAAAAGGAGAGATGGTAGAAATCTGGCCTTTGTTAACAAATGTTAATTTGAACTGATCATATTCACAACTTTTTTTCTCTCCAAACGTTTTTCTAGTAAAACATAAGAATTTCTTCAGTTTATTCAGAACAAAATAAATTCTAAAACCACAGAGATCTGCAAAACAGAAAGTTTTTCAAATACTGCTCAGCTGAGAGTCAGATTTTGTTCCTAATCACATTGCTATAAATGTTGATGAGGTCTACAAAATTCAGAGCATTTATACCGATGATAAATCAGAATCAGCCCCAGATGTTGAGCACGTGATTCTGATTGTTTGCAGGTTTATTTCTAAGCGCACTATAAGAAGAAACATATTGTAGAAGTTTATATTGACTGATACCCTTTAATTACACATAACTGCAGGTTTAACTTGGACCCTGAGAAGAAGTGCACTGACAGCATGCTATGGGAAGCATTGGAAATAGCACAACTCAAGCATGTGGTGAAAGCGCTACCTGGGGGTCTAGGTAATAAGACTTTCTTCTTGAGAAAATTACTTCCAGTGTGCACAACATTCCTGTTTCACATTTTCTACGTATTAAAAAGGTAGCTGCTGAAGAAAAAAAGCTTTTTAGGTGACAGGAAGTGCTTGCCTGCAGGCAGAGGTGCTATATCCATCTCACTCCCCCACCAGCTGCTCCTGTGGGGCAGAATCCTGCTTCTATTCAAATAAATGATAAAATTATTATTTTATTTCAGTATGTCTTCGTCATTAAGCATTGGTTCTTGTGAATTCAAATAAGGTGCCAACAAGTCAAGTGTTACCTAGAATATGTTCTATTTTCCAAGTCATATCCAGGGAGGAAGATTTTTAAAGCTTAAAGGTGTGAATCATTCCACCATGAAGCAATCCAACCAACACCCCAAAACACACACAAATATATAAACAAAGAAAAACCTTAAAAATGGCAAGTTATACAATCTTTGGGTAAAGAAATTATGAATGTTACTTTGACAGGGGGATGCAGTAACAGTACCCTAAACTGCACATATTCCAGAGAAACTCACTCCTAAACATTCATAGTTACTTTGATGTCTAATAGATGTAAAGAATATAGTGAGACAGGAATAGTAGTGAGACAGTACTAGTTCTTCTGAGCAATGTAAATAAACAAGCAAAATGGGGTCACCAGGAGCTACAGACCTAGAATATGTTACTTTGAGAATCTTTACGCTGAAAGTGAGACATTATTTCCCAAGCATATGCTGTACTCTGATCTGACCCTCTTGTATACACACACACAGAGCACCTAAATACTGATTTTGTTATATCATTTCCAGATGCTATAGTCACAGAAGGGGGTGAAAACTTCAGCCAGGGGCAAAGACAGCTGTTCTGCCTAGCAAGGGCTTTTGTGCGGAAGACGAGCATCTTCATCATGGATGAAGCCACAGCATCTATTGACATGGCAACAGTGAGTTTGGACTGTTCCTGATTGCTTGTTTTCCTTGAGGGGGAGACAACCACTAATATGTGAATAAAAAGGTGGAAAGCAATTCTATCCACTCAGTAATATGCTTACACCATATTTAGTGCAGATGTGTTTACAAGTCCAAGATAGTTGTGAGTCATTGCTAACTAATCTAAAGAGCTTTTAAATCATTTTACTATGGGGTTAATAGTTATTTCAGCATCTCCTGCACTTAGAAAATGAAGCATGATTTTCATTGGTAGTTTGATATTCCAAAAAAAAAAAAAAAACAAAACTTTGTAAGGTCAGTGGGGATGGTCAGTGAAAGGTAAACTGGCAAGCAGACCAGCATGGTGAAGTCAGGAATTCTGAAGGCTTGAAAGTAGAGTCAAGAAAATAAACAGAGATATAGAAAAGGCATACTGGATTATTGCATTAATTGCCTGAAACTGCTAGGCAGATGTTAAAACACACAGTAATAGTGCACTGACTGGATTTTAGCCAAATGCATTCTTAGGGGTTCTTTTTTTTCCTTTGTTATGTTGTTATGGAAAATGTTTCAGTGTTCCTCATCCTAAGAATAAAGAATGTAATTGGAGGGGTTTATTTCAACAGCTACAATTTTTAATTCTGGCAGCCAAGTTAAAATACATTTTCAATTTTAATGCATTTAGGATATAGTTCCTCCCTTGAGATACATATCTAAAGAACAGGTAATAGCAATTAAAGGTATCTATGCTAGTGACATTTGTAGGCAGTTTGGTACACAACAAGGTTTCCTAAATAGCAAAGGATTAAGTACTTGTTGAGTGAGAACTATGTATGCTAAGACCATCTTGAATATCATCTACACTGCTATAATACGCCAGGTACACCGTACGTTTATCCCTGCCACCCCTTGGTGTTAGATGTCTCCAGTGTGCTGGGACATTCCTAGACTTGCAGCAGGGTGAAGAATGCAACACAGACGTGTCAGCATGCAGGCAGCATGGCAGCACCCTGAATTCACCTTTCCTCTCCTCACTATAAGTCTGAGGCCACGTTGGCAGGGATTCTGGGGCCAGAGCACAGCTCTCATGCTCTGAAGCCCAGAGGCAGTGGGGGTGGCAGGAGCAAGCAGGGCTAACTGGAGACCAGGCTCTGACTTAGTTCTAGCATGCAGTTAATTTTTCATTTCTGCAATGTAGGATCAATAAAAGCACAAAATAATCAGTGGTTACTCTTAGTGTCTGTGTGACTACCATGTGACTTCTGTTGTTTGAAAAGCAACAAATGTTTTTGTTTACACAGGAGAACATACTCCAGAAGGTAGTCATGACTGCGTTTGCTGACCGTACTGTGGTTACAATAGCAGTAAGTACAGTCTCTGCTGCTGTTCTAATGCAAACAAGAATCAAAAATGCCATATTGGTCAATTCTTATCAATGTTAATAAATGTGTTCATTTGGCTTTTTTTTTTTTAACTGTGTTTAATTTTAAGCTTTATCTTCCATTTTAAACTGTTTTATTAAAAACGTAACAGCTTCTCTCATGGGCTGTGTGAAGCTAAGTCCAACTGCCTGCAAGTGCATGTAATCCAAGTATGCAGTCTATTTTCTGTTACCTGTTTTAGGCTAATTTAAATTATAATATGACTTTGACTACTGTGAAATCTGAAGAAGTTTCATCAAGCTGCAATAATCATGTAACTAAGGACAAGTAAAATTATGTGATAGTTCTGCCACTGGAAAAAGCAATCGTGTTTCAGAATAAAAAAAATATAGAATCCTCCTAACCTTTAAAAATAAACATTCCATCCCTGTCGACAGTCGCTGAATTCAAGCTTGCATATTCTCAAAGTGATTATACAACGATCTTGAGCATCTATTGAAAAATTGTTTATGAAAGAGATTTGACCTGAATCAAAGTAACTGACTCAACAGATAACGTCAGAAGCAATACGTACCTTTCAGTCCTCTATTTCTAAAAATACACGTATTTCAGGAAGGCTAAATAAAGTCATTAGGCTTCTTAACATTTAAAAATTAAACACAAGTCAAAAAACCTATGCTCAAGAATCTTAAGCATCTTTTTGTTTTTACCTAGAAAATGTGTAATAGAAAAACCTGTTTATCTTATGGTATCCGTTCTGTGTGTCATTACGAAAAAAGCAAGGGAATCATAAACATGAGATTTCCTGATTTCTCTGCATGAAAATTCTGAGTTGCACTGCATCTGCATTTATGTATCTTTTCCTGTTTGTTTGGAAATAGGCTGAGAAAGTTTTATTGGTCTTCCACTCTCTTAGTGAAAGACTGAGAGAATTTTGAATTGCACAGTTCAGACAAACAGCACGTTGGAATAAACTTACTTGGAATGTTTTTACTTCCAAATGTAAAAGTGGTTTACAGCAGGTGGATTTGTATTCAAAGTATTCTGTAGTAGAAACATAACATGGGGGATTTTGGGGGGGTGGGGTTTAGTAGTAGTTTTGGCTTTTTGTATGTGTATTTTTATTTTGCTTGGTTTGGGTTGTGCTTGGGTTGTTGGTTTTTTTGTGGTTGGTTTGATTTTTTGTGGGGTTTTTTTTTTGTTTGTTTTTTCTGCAGAGAAAGCCATATAGTACTTGTTTGTGCTTAGGAAGAATAAGAATGGAAAGAGTACAGTATTGTGTCTGTATTATCATCTGTGTACTTAATCAGGATGGGAGCAATGATTGTGTTATACTGAAAGAGATCAGAAAACCAGGGCAGCAAGTATAGCTGGAATGTGGTATTTCAGTCCCCTCCCCCCTCTTGTAGGCTGAATAAATGTCACAGAAGGACTGCAGCAGAGATGAGATTTGTAGATGTCATCAGTGATTATTTTTATGGAACATCTGGCTAGGAAGACACAGAAGGAAATGCAAGAGTTGTTTTGGTACTGAGAGTGCCCAAGATCTCATTGGAAACCTTACGGGTGAAGAGTGAATAAGTAACAGGGTACATAGTATTCTAAGATTAAATATCCCTCCAAAGTAATGCAGACTCAAAAATCTGGTGCAGTTGGATTTCACATGTTAAAAAGTGGAATTCTTCAAAAATAAGAGAGCTTGCTAAAAAAAATTACCAAAAAATGGTAGGGAAAAAGAGCTAAAAGAAGAAGCAAGGAAAACTGAATCTGTCAGGGATCACAGCAATTACAGAAGGATTTGGATTTTATTAAAAAATCCCACAGCCAGTGTATGCTCTTTGTTAGGATAGAAAGAAGCTGGTGTGGCTAAACAAATGAAAAAAGATTATTAGAAACAAGAAGGCATTCTTGTAAAAGCTGAAGTCATAGCCAAATAAAGAAAATAGAAATTATCATAAGCTCTAGCATGTTACATGTGAAAAAGCAACAAGGCAGGCCAAAAAAAAAAAAGTATAAGAGCAGTTTCTGGAAGCCATCAAAGCTAATAGCAAATCCATGAATCCCTAAAACACACTGGGCGCAAGAAGTCTGTCAGTTTATAGGGCTATGTGATGATCAGTACCTGAAAAGAATGATCAAGAAAGATAACAGTATTGCAGAAAAGCTGAATTAATTATTTTCAGTATTAACTGTGGGGGAAAAAAATGGGGAGGTTTCTTCCTAATAAAATAATTAAATGCTAGGGCTTATTAGAAAAAGGGTGTAAGTCTATAGTTTACACAAACCTGTATAGTTTACACTTACCTGTGTAAGTCTATAGTTTACACATACCTTGAATAATGCACGTAGTTCCAGTCTCCTCATCCCCAGAATGATACGTTACAACTGAAAAATGTTGCAAAGAACAAGATGATCGGAGGTGGGGAACTGCTCCTTAAGGGGAGAGCAGCTGAGCAGGCTAGTCTTCTTCCGCCTGGAAGGACAATGTAAGGACATGTGAGAGAGGTCTGCAAAATCATGAGGCAAGGGGCATCAAGTGAAGCTCTGAGCAGCGAGGCCCAGAGCACACAAAATGAGATACTCGTGCAGTGGGGACCAAACCTGAAAAAATCTTTTCCGAAGGATGAGGATGCAAAATGTTTCTGAAAGCTCAAGAGAGATGTGGGAAAGGTCTTAAAGAAACACAGTCAGTTTTACAAATGGACAAACCACACCAAGCTCAGGAACCACCCTGACCTAGATGTAGTCCAGGCCTGGGAGAGTACCCTCGTGCAGTACTGTACTTGCCCACTCTTCCTGGCAACCTCCTTGTGGCAATGTTTGATGGAAGGACTTTGAGCTAGGGACACTGCAGTCTGAACCAATATGAATCTTCATAGGCAAGTACCTGTGTGCAGTTTAGGTACTTGAATATTCATGTGGTTCTTGGTGTGTAATGCTCTGCAGCATCTGCACAATAAATAAGGATGACAAGTAGCCTTAACTGAACTTGATAGGAAAATCAGTTTCTGGAACTCTGTCTTATCCAGGAATATATTTCATAGAATCCTGGAATATATTTCATAGAAACACTGAACTGGTATTTTGTTTATTCATTTTTCAGCACCGAGTGCACACGATCCTCAATGCGGATTTGGTTATTGTAATGAAGAGAGGGGTTATTTTGGAATATGACAAGCCTGAGGTTCTGCTAGAACAAGAAGACAGTGTCTTTGCTTCTTTTGTACAAGCAGATAAGTAATAAAAAATAATGAAGCATTTTAAAGTACAATTGTATTATTTTCTAAAAATGTAAAATACCTGTAAATAAATACTATTTCATAATTGAGGTTTTCCTTTTTTAATAAAATGAGCCAATTTTCTCCATCTGAAGTATTAATGAATTAACCATCTACTTTCCTTTTTTTGCATACTACTCTTGTTTTTATTTGCCACCATGAAATATGGTTGGAAAAAACCTACATGGGTGAAATACGACAGGATGCACATCAAGCAAGCATGGCCAGAATTGAGTTTTTATGTAAATATTAAACTTCTCCTACCATTTTATTAACCTGTTACTTTTTATGTGTGATAGCCTTACTGTAGATAATGCTTATGACTGACTAAATGCATAAAGAAAAATTATATACCAAAGGTATTTCTAAAAAGCTTGTATCTCTTTTAATCATATGACTCTGTAAAGCTTTAATATCTAAACATAAAATCTATTTTAAAAAAGTTACATTGTGGTTTATTGATAGTGCCTGTGTCTGATGGTCTCTCCTTTAATGCCATTTAGCAATTAGTCACAATCCGATTCCTTTAGTCTTTCTTAGGCTACTTCACTTCTACCCCCACTGAATAATATTATAGTGATTCCAAATGAGATTGAGCCTGACTGGCTCCCAAACTGTGAAGAAGCTAAGAGCAGGCAGGCTGTGATAAAGTATCACTGCTTAATGTCCACTGTTTCCAGACCAGTGCAGATGTACCAATTCATCTGGAAATCATCCCTCCAAGTCTGGTAAATAAACTGTATTAAATCGTTCACTGTGTCTCGGAGCCATGTAAGCTTGACTCATCCTCTCCTAGTTTCATATATTTCACCCACTGTCGCACTTACCGATAAATTATGGATACTTACTAAGATAGCTTATAAGTACCAAAATTACCCTAACTTGGCTAGACAGCTACTTATCCGTGCCCTCTTGATTCATTGTGACAGTCACTCCAGGATTTACTAATTATTAAGAGGTTAGAATGTCAATAACCCAATGGAAGGCTGCAATGAATTTTTCACTATTACTCTTTTTATGGCAACTTTGGTTTTACATCCATTTTTGTCCTTTTTCCCATTTTGAAGAATTCCTAGCACTTGGGAAAAATCATTTGTTCTTTTTTCTCCTTTAGCCTGCTCAATTAATTTGGAATCTGGTTTTTGAATGCTTTATTTTTTAGAAAAATACGCCTCAGTGTTGTCACGGGATACGTGGTATTTTTAATGCATTACTTCTAGTGCTGAAACTACAAAAACTGAAGAACTGTTATTGCTGTTTAAGTAGTGCTATCAATTCCAGAGCACAGTATTTGCAGCATCTGCCTGCTATTATTTCTGTAATACCTAAGGGCATTAAACCGCTGCCTGAGAACCAGCAGGAGTGTAGGATGAACAGTGATAAAAGGAGGGAGATAGAATACACTTATGCAGATAAAATGCATGACTTCTGTCACTGCCTGCTGCAGATGAAGAAGAAAAGGTGCAGTTGGGAGGTAACTCCTCCAGGGACTCATTTGCTTGGTAGTGTCAAAATAAAAACAGCTGCAGAACTATTGGTGTGTTTTCACACTGCGATACAAGGGACACATTAGGGCTAAGAGGGAAGAGATGGGAGATAGGTGACTATCCTTCCAGGGTAGCAGAAGAGCTCAGTCAACACAGAGGAGGTTTCTACTACAGCTAATATGCATGCTTGTCTCCTAGACGCCCAGTACTGGTCTAAGGCAAGATCTCATCCTGTAAAAACTTAGGGAGACCACCACCCTACAGAACATCTCAAACTCATGCTGCAGAGAGAGATTTTCAGAAGTTTTGCAACCATCTGTGGAAGATAAAGTGAGGTTTCATATGCTTTTAATAAAGTGCCTGGAATTTGACACTGCAATTTGGACTAGCTCCTATTCCACAAGCCTCTGACAATCTTACCTGGAAAGGAATGCAAGGGAGTAAAGGACACAGCATGTCACTAAGACAACAGCATTACATCTTGAGGTATTAAGAAATAAGAACACAAAGTACAAGTGTCATACATTTCCATCATCAGTGGGGCTTGTATTTCACAAAGCAGCATTGCAGGAGGGGAGGAAGGGTTGGTTCATACCCACCAGTTATGTATCTTTTGAATGGTACCACACTGCTGGATAAGTATGTGTGAACAGGGAGGCCTCTTAGCTGCCACTTGGACAGAATACACTTCACATTTCCTCAGCATGTTTTATCTAGTCTGCTTTATATGGGGCCAAGTCCCAGGGAGTTCCTGCCCCCTAACTCCAAAGGGTTAGAGTCTCACCATAACCAGAAGCAGTATCCAAGAAAATTATTCCATGGTGGGAGGCTCACAGCCATTATCTGAGTCATTAAAGCTGTTACCTTGAGGAAGGTGGTCCAGAAGTCATTATTAAATCAGGTTCACAAATGTATTTTGCATGGCAGTGAAGCATTACTAAGCAAAGTGCTGTACTAAAATGGGTGCAAGACAGCTCCAGAGCAGCCATGTGAAGCTGCTGAGGGGAGCTGCCATGTCCAGACTTTCATTCCTCCTCTGGGATGGGTCTTGGCTGGGTCCCAAAGGTGTTAGTGGGATAGGCTGCCTGTGGAGACGCAACCTGAGTCTGTTTTTTTTCTTTCTTTCTACAAATGCTCCTGTTATACAAAAACCTTTATAGCATTTATTCCCTTGTCTTAGTGTGGCTATTTCATACCCTTCTACTTATTTCTGAGGGAACATAGCACGCCTGCTACATTAGCCCTCTTACTAGTTCTGCTCATGCCTTCCCCTCTGGCTTTGCATAACCAGCTTGGATCTCTTATTCCGTCTACCCACTCTCACAGAATGGTGATTTGTGAGGCTAATTCATGTTAGGCTAACACTGCACAGCCTTTGAAAGAAAGGTCTGCTTCTAAAGGCAGAGTAACACCACAGTGCCAACTAAATTTTAATTTAAGTTACAGCAGTATCTTATTTGATAGCCATTAAAGTTTGGATAATTCAGAGCAGAGGGGAGTATTCAAATGTAAAACCTATTTTGTGGGTGGAAAAAGTTACCCTCCAAGATTCTATACTACAGAGTGGGATTGTTCATTCCTGTGAGCCCAATTTGCTCAGCAGCTCTTAACACAAATATGTTGGCTCACTCAGAAGATCTGTCACTTTTTTATATTAAGTATCTGTTACTTGATCCACAAAGACAGGGCTTGTTTTAATTCTGCTCTAGAAATTCCTCAGCTGAAGCCACTTGCTTTGCTGTCCTATCTCAGCAAATAAGTGCTCAGAGGTGAAGAAAAAGAAGTAAGTGGCAAATGACAGTCCCAATAAAGAACAGAAGTGGAAACAAGGGAACACCCTTCTAGCCTTACAGAGTTCAGGATCCCTAAAGCCAGTGTGGTGACTGTTCAGGAAACACCCCTTGTTGTAGCAGGCTCCATGCATCAGGCCTAGCACCAGACTATGAAGCAATTTACCTTTCCCTTTAAAACACTCCTGCCCAACACAGGTTTTTTTCATTCCACATCCACGTACTTACCGCCCTCTGGAGGAAAAGGTACGGAATAAAACAACGATTAGAAAAAGAGTAAGGAAGAAATGGCCAGAAAGACCTGACTGCCTCTTGAACACTTAAGGTGCATCTCTGCAAAACTGTGTGAAATGATACTTATGAACTGCAACGGTGTTATAGAGCCTCTTTATGCTCACTTCAAAATGATGGAAGTAACTATGAGCTGCCATCAGCTGGAGAACCACACTTTTGACAAGGAAATCTCCGCATTTCTTCAGACATTTGTGGATTTTAAAATGTTTAGAAAAAAACTAAAAAAATTACCATTTTTTAAGTTATATATATAAATCATGTACTTTAAGTGTAGGTGTAGGTGACATTCACAGTAAGCACACAAAAAATGTCTAGCTCACAAAGTAATACAGAAAATGGAAAGATATCTTTGGCTAAGCTCAGTGGCATGGCGGCCAGGTGCTAGGGCATCTTGTTGTTATCTTAATTTTATTTATCAAAGCAGCAACAAACATGACCCAGAACAAGAGACGGCATGTAATATTGGGAAACTGACCCCTCTGCAAGTAATGAATGTGTCCAAGGACACACAACTCTTCATACATAAAAAGTAGCAATAGTCTAAAGTAATAGTGATCTTTTAAGACTTATAACAACTGCTCGGAGAGGTCAGATAGTGATTACTTAAAACTACTGTTCTGAAGTGCCTAGGTGAGCCACTGTAAGCAGCTGTAGGTGGTGAAAGTTGATTTCAGCCCCAACTGGCTGGCTCCCAACCATCAAATGTGCAATTGCCTTGCCCAGGCAACCAATGCCAGTAACTGCTTACAGTGTGTACCAAAGCATTCGGAGCCAAAACTGAAGAGAAAGCCCATGGACACACACAATTAGAAAAATGTAATCATGAATGCACTGGTAGTAAATAAAAACCTCATATCCGGAATATCCCAGGATGGTTTAGCAATTCTACAATGCTGGTGCCTAAACTGAAATAAACCCCAAATATTTAAATCTGAGTAGGTAAACACATGAATGAGAATACTGCTATTTAACAGTGGAGCAGTCACATAACAGTGTTTTTAAATAACGCACCTTGTCCCACAGATACCTCCACATGCACATGTATGTACACACACAGAGACATCACACTGCCACACACAGGTTTCCTAGCTCCCTGTCCCCTTTCGCTGGCGATTTTGATGTCTGTCTGGACGGTTCTGCCAGTGTGGGTTAACCATCTGCAGACAGACCACTCTTTTGCAAGCTGTACCGCTATCTGCACAGCAGACATTCTCCCGAGCAGCCAGAGCTCACGTTTCATGAGCTCCTTCTGTCAGAAAAATCCTTCCTTGGTCAAAGCTAAATAACTCCAGCAAATTTTATGAGCAGGACTGAGACCCTTTACTTCTAGGTCTCTGTTTAACCACGCATCCTGGACTTGGCCTCTTCAGGCAAATTTCCTCCCACTGCCTGCCAGGCTCATCAGACAAACGCTTTTCCCACACTCCCAGAAAGACAGATGTGCAAGTGAATTTCAGGGTTTTTTTTCCACTGAAAACCAACCCAGTCCTATTTTGTGTTCTGTTTCACAGAACGACTGCCCAACCTGTGTGTGGTGAAACCGCACCACCCCACTAACTTCCGCCACTGCTAACGGAAGGAATCCAGGTACTGCCAGAAAACCCATCCTGGAACAAACACAGAAACCGCGGCCGAAGCCAGACCTCCCCCTTCCTCAGGGGAAAAAATAATAGTAATTAAAAGAATGAAAAGCCCCACACCACCACTGAGGTAAAGAGGTGAAGAACGCACCCAGCGCTCACCGGGGAGCAATCCGGGACTCGGATTCCCCCTTCCCTTCCCTGCAGGGCGACGGTTTTTAACCGCCTTCCGTTGCCACCGTCGCTCAACGACCGTTACGCGGCGGTACCCGCGGCTCCTCCGCACACAGGCGCGTGGGACCGCCTCAGCCCCAGTCCCTCCGCTGCGAGGAGCCAGCACCCGCTCGGGGTCCGCAATACCGAGGCCCAGCAGAGGCCGACCGCTGCTCCCCACGCCGCTTCCCGACCGCCGACTCGTACTTGGGCGGCGCCGCCTGGCGGCCGCCGCGCTCCCGTGCCCGGATACGGCGGGGGCTGCAGCGGCGCCGTGCGCCCGCTCGGCCCCGTGGTGCGGTCGTCCCCTGCTTCCCCCGCCGTGCCTTCCCTCCCACCCCCGGCAGAGCGGCGGCTGCATGGGGCGGCGCTGAGCGGCGGCGGCGGGCAGCCATGCTGTCGAGGAAGGGGATCATCCCCGAGGAGTACGTGCTGACCCGGCTGGCGGAGGATGTGCCGGATCATGCCCGGTATCGCGCACGGGAGCGTCGGGCGCGTTTTGTGGGCAAGAACGGTGCCTGCAACGTGGCCCATAAAAACATCCGGGAGCAGGGACGCTTTCTTCAGGACGTCTTCACCACCCTGGTAGACCTCAAGTGGCATCACACGCTGCTCATCTTCACCATGTCCTTCCTCTGCAGCTGGTTGCTCTTCGGCATGGTGTGGTGGCTCATCGCTTTCGCCCACGGAGACCTGGATCACAGCACCCGGCTGCAGCGTGACCCCAGAGAAGGGGTAGAAGGGGCCCCGGCCAGCTTTGTTCCCTGCGTGACCAGCATCCACTCCTTCACCTCTGCCTTCCTCTTCTCCATCGAGGTGCAGGTGACGATTGGCTTTGGGGGACGCATGGTGACAGAGGAGTGTCCCGCCGCCATCCTGGTGCTGATTGTGCAGAACATCGTGGGGCTGGTGATCAATGCCATCATGCTGGGCTGCATCTTCATGAAGACCTCACAAGCCCACCGCCGAGCTGAGACCCTCATCTTCAGCAAGCACGCGGTCATCGCCCTGCGGGAGGGCAAGCTCTGCTTCATGCTGCGGGTGGGGGACCTCCGGAAGAGCATGATCATCAGCGCCACCATCCGCATGCAGGTGGTGAAGAAGACCACCAGCCTGGAGGGGGAGGTGGTGCCCCTCAACCAGATAGACATCCAGATGGAGAACCCTGTGGGGGGCAACAGCATCTTCCTCGTCTCACCACTCATTATCTACCACGTGATAGACAAGAACAGTCCTCTCTACGACATCTCCCCTGTAAACCTTCACCACCATGAGGACCTGGAGATCATCGTCATCTTGGAAGGGGTGGTGGAGACCACTGGCATCACCACTCAAGCCAGAACCTCCTACCTGGCAGATGAAATTCTCTGGGGTCAAAGGTTTGTGCCCATTGTGGCAGAGGAAGATGGGCGATACTCTGTGGACTACTCTAAATTTGGCAACACAGTGAAAGTGCCCACCCCTTCGTGTACTGCTAGGCAGCTGGAGGAGGACAAGAGCATTATGGATACCATGCCGTTTTCCCCTAAAGGCACAATAAGGAAGAGGTCTGTGAAACTAAAGCCCAAGTTTACCTTAAGCGATGAGCCTTCCTGATGCCTTTTGACTGGGAAACTCTGTTAGGGCTTTGTGTCTGAAAGATCCCATAAACTCAAAACACTGAGGTGGCCTCTTACTTTTTTTTAAATTCAGGTTGGTAGCACAAGGTATGTTCTGATGTTATTTATTGTGGGATAAATCTAAAGCTAATTCTATTTTTTTAAGTGGGAGAGATTTCAATCAGCACTGGGAGTAGGGAAAACATGGTCTCCAGCTTTAAATTTCAGTTGAGACTGTTGTATTTAATTGCACGATCATTTTGCATTGATTCATCTGCAGGTAATGACGTATTTTCTCAAAAAATAAATGTATATTTATCCTCAGAGTTTGCAGTACCTAGGGTCTTGCAGTGTCCTCAAGTCAGTAGTTTTTAACTGTTTTTTTCTAACTTGAACAATCAATATAGCAAAATAAAATATGAATAATTAATAAAGTAGGCTGGATTTTAATGATAACAAAAGGGTCAGGCAATGTTATGTATGATACAAGACCAGATCTGGAAATGTCTCTGTTTTATGCTCTTTATGTCTCAAAGAAATTAACTGCCTGATTTGCTTTGTCCATATTGTATGGAGCCACTCCTATCACATGCAAAAGAAATGTAGTTGAATATCTGCTTTTGTTTATATTATAACCCTTTACACTTCCAAAAGAAAACATTCAGGAATACCTTTTTGGACTGTACATTTCTGATGGTAAGCAATGCTTTGCCTTTAGAAAGAGTAGTGGTTAATAAAACAGCTGTCATTAATTATAAATAGGAAAAAATCTGTATTCTGATTTCTAAAAGAAGAGAAGCAACTTCACACACATACACACAGAGAGCCACATGGCAATAGGATCTCAATAAAAATAATCTAATCTCTCCCCTAGGTCAGAGTGAATACTATTGGATAATTAGGGAACAGACAAAGATACTTTAAATGAAAGGGCAGTGCTGAATGCTGGAATTCTGTCTGCATGCAGTAAGCAAAACCTTTCACTCCTTTCCTTTTTGTAAAAGAAGTCCAGATTCTTGTGCTTAAGGAAAGGAGAGATGCGTAAGACAGTGTGGTCGCTTCCGGGATGCTTTGTCACCAAACATACACCTGCTGAGGAAACTATTCCCTTTCCGTTTACATCCTGACCTCCCTACACAGCAAGTGCCTGCCTTGGTTTTTAGCAGAATGCAAGATCTAGTATTTACCAGCAACACTGAAGGAGCCATGTTCAGCCCCTCAGTTCCGCAGTGACAAGAGGAGTGATTTCCTTTTACATACTCTTGCAAATCCGCTATCTGGGGATATTAGTAACATCAGCAATTTTATTTCTATGCAGCGATATTAGGATATAGTAGCAGTATTAACTGCAGTGTGCTATTAACAGGGCAAACTGCCACTTAAAAAAAGGTAACGTTGTCCAAATAAAACCTAAATAAGCATCACAGATTTGACCCAACACCTGGTTACAAGCTGTGCAGAGGCACCAAGTTACTTCCAACTTATTTAAGGAGCTTCTAGTATCAAGTTCTTGTATTTTGCATAGTTCACAGCATACACCTAGATGGTTTGTTTTAGCAATAATGCGGCAAATATTTGAATGCCGTGTCAGTGTAACAATATGCCAAACTCATTCAAAAGCATGACAAAACTTCCATATTGACTACGGAAAATTTTAAGGCATCTATAATAAAATTAAATAATGTTTGGATAAATTCAAAGTTTGTTTTAAAATTATAAAATAGTAATTCTATTTTCAATATTTATATATTTCAGTTTATGAAGACCTTTTGACTACGAGTTAAAAGAATATATGCCTGTTCAGATTTCAGATTCCCAATACACCAATAATATTCTGTGAACAGCTCTGAAAATGTAATGCTTCACAATGAAAAGACAGTCAAACTAGCATTAACAAGCAGTCAGCAAAGAAAATTTGGAAAGGCCTATTTTACATTTGTAATCATAAAACTACCTTTTTTTATATAGTAGGGAATAATTAAATCCTTTTGATGATTAAACTTCTTCTGTAAGATTGAGTCTAACTGTCACATTCTTTTCCAGATTTCCCTTTTAGTGCTTCTGTTCCATCTCCCACTGCCTATCAGAGGGGCACTTACAGTAGGGCTGTTTGCCTTTCCTAGACACCTTTGTCCCTTTGAAAGTTCATTGTTCTTTATCACTTGTCGCAATACCACTGCTCTATTCTTATTAGAGTCACAGACAAAATATTGGAGTTAGCTTTCCAGTGACTTGAAATGATTGGTTTCTCTCTAGTCTCTTTAGTGCCCTATTTCAATGTGTAAGACACAGCTTGAGGTGCTCACATAAAACCTTTTCAGCTCTGGTAGCTTTTTAAAGCTGTTTTCAAGATGTGACCCAAATGTGAAGCAGTTTCAGGAGCACTACCATGCAACTATTTTCAGGAGCTGATGCAAGCCTCTTTTTCCCTAAGGGAAATCTATGCAACAGAGAGGTAGAAAAATCCATTTCTTCACTGTGAGATGGAGGGGAAAGACTGGAGGAAACAGCTTGTATTCGCTGGGCTGCTTTCAGGACCACCTTTTGTTACTTCTTTTACAGGTATCTGCACAATTTCCTGCAGTCTTGCAATAAATAGGCATCATAATATTATGATTAAGGCAGGATTTGTACTATTAAAATCACCGTGGTGGATTACGTCAGTCAAAGTGTTGGTGATTTTGAATTCAGGAATCTTGTAATTTTAAATCCCTCTGTCCTTTCACCATTTAAAATATTCAGAAGCATTCTGGGGGTAGAGCAAGGAAGAGTAAGTGTATTTATTTTGTTCTAGGGATATTACTTCTTTGTGAGGATCTTTTATTTTGTCATTTACAAAGTATTTGGGAATGCAAATATCTGAAATTGTCTTCAAGTGGTACTTGTGCTGACCGCCCCCATTCTCTGTAGGAAGGTTCTGAAGAAGACGTCAGCGCTGTCATTTGATGTAGAAAAGTCCTCATTCTTAGCGATGGGCAAATGCTGCATTTTTCACAGTTGTCCAAAGTGAGTGGGCTTTTGAACTTTCTTTCTCAGCCTATGTCGTTTTTTGGTAGGTGGTATTGCACCTGGGATCCTGCCAAACAGCTAGCGGAGTGTGCTGTGACTTCCACTGCCGGTACCTCTCCACATGTGCTCTGCACAGAAACCAGTGTGAGGGAAGTAGGAGGCTACTTGCTCAGCAGCTTGCCCTGAGTGAGGGGAGGACATGGACACAAAAAATGGGAAGCTGCAGGTTTTGTAGAGACTGATTGCTGAGTTTAGGGTCTGGTGTAACCAGCTGTGTCCATGGGAATTGCTTTCGTGTGATTCAGAGTCTGGAGGTCATTATCAGTTTATACTCAGTCCACACTGTTTAGTACATTCAAACTGGAATTTGTTAAGCTGTTTGGATGGACAGAAGGATCACAGAACTTATTATCAGAAATAGAGACTGGAGAACACTTAAGTTATATGCCACAGTTTAAAATACTTGTAGTGACTGCTGGTGAGAACACAGCAACTGGGAATA